ATAACTGCAGATGTTAGAAATCAGAAGTGAAGTCAGAAATTAATGGAAAAACTCAGCAGGTCTGGCAGCATGTGTGGAGAGAAATCAGAGTTTTGGATCCAGTGAACTGTATTCCTCCTTGCAGATGCTGTCAGACCTGCTGAGTTTTCCAGCACTTTCTGTTTTTGTTTTTTTTATTAATATCCCAACATGCTCTTACTCACAAAAGAACTTATTTTTCCAACACCAAATCATCCATGGTATTTTTCACCCATTATCCGCTACTGCTAAATCATTCATATTTCTGGTTAATCAGATTACATGCACTGCCCAGCAAGGGCAATACAAACTACCAAAGGTGAGGAACAGGTGGGGGGAGATGGAGGGGGATAATTCAAAATAAGTTAGAAGGGGCGATAAAGGACTCTACCTCCTGCAGTGCCCACCTTTCTATAAAAGCATCGAGAGTATCGATGGTCACCCATGCACCCTCTCCATTGAAACCCAGGCACACGCATAGTCGTAAAAGAAGAGCAGACAATTAATACTGCAATCTCCTCTGCTGCCCATTGCCTTGGACCTATCAATGGCCAATTTAGCCAGGCCCACCAGAAGGTCCTTCGACTTATCCACACCCCTCCACGGTGGATCAGGAACCCAGCTTTTGTTTTTAAATTTCCTTCTTTTCCCTTCTATATATGGGAGTGTTAGCACACACAACCCAATGGCTTTTCTCCTAACACCAAATCACCTGCGGTATTTTTCATCTGTTAACTATCATCACTAAATGACACATCTTCGAATTGAAGGAACCCAGCCATTAAATACAAAGTCCAATGAGCATCACATGCTCCTAATCAACTCTAGTGGTAGTGGTAGTGTCCCTACCTCCAGGCTAAGTGGCCTAGGTTCATGTCCCACCTACTGTAGGCGTAAAACATTTATCAACAAATGGATTCCAAATATTCTGTGTGATACTTGTGGCACAGTGATAGGGTTCCCTACTTCTGAGACAAGATGAACAGAACATCTACATTCTGCTCGCAAAAAAGACCCTGAGCTACCTGCTGCCTGCCACCTTAACACACCTCCCTGTTCCCTGGCCAACATCTCTGTCTCTGGCTTGCTGCAGTGTTCCAGCAAAGCTCAACGCAAGCTGGAAGAACAACACCTCATTTTCCGCTTGGGGACCTTGCAGCCCTCCGGACTCAATATCGAGTTCAAAAATTTTAGGGCCTAAACTCTTCTGTGTCCCAGCACTCTACCCCACACACCAGGCCTTGTTATCACATAGCCAGCCATTACACACTACCTATTGTTAGTCACTAACAGTCCCCATTAACAACTATTCACCCTCCCAAAAAAAAGGGACCTGGATTTCTAATACTGACAATCCTTCTGCTGGCTGGGGAATTTAGAATTTGAGGGCATTGACTCCTTAACCTGACACTATCTTTATGGATTGGAATGAGGAGAAATTTCTTTACTCAAAGATTTATGAATCTTTATAGATTCTTTACACCAAATAATTGCCTTCTGACACCTTTCAAACTTGGGTCATCCAACATAATGAGTCTTTATTTGTCACCTGTATTTCCCAATTTAAAAGAGCCTTTGAGAAATACTAATGTTTTCAGAAGATTCTGCAAGTTCCTTTTGTAATTCCTAATTCCCAGAAGGGAGATAATAAGTAATGAAAGCTGTATTTTCACACTGTTCGGTTCTCCCCACAAGGGCACATATAATAATTGCATTTTGTATAATCTTACTGTGCTTTACATTACAAATATAATTACAGCTTTAACTTGGTAGAAATGTGTTTTCGATGTAAGAGACAGGATATTGCCATTAAAAATAGCTGCCCCAATCCATCTCTGCAGGTACAGATGCACCTGCTGCAACAAGGAACAGGAGGAGAGTTTTGACACAAGTTAACATAACAGCTCTTGATACACTTCCAAAATTTTGCAAAGCACAGTGTATCAAGTAACAGGTGTTAAACAAAACTGATGGGCAACTAAATTGCTAAACACAATTAAGAATAACAGGACAAAAAGAAGGGAAACCAGAACTGGGTAAATGACAATTATGTACATAGTCTGTGAAAACAGGATGAAAATCATCCATGCAAAATTCCAAACACAGTTAGCACTTTGAAGGCTTTCAAGTTTGCAGAAGTCATGGTTAAAAGTGGATGTAAAAGACATATGTTCCTGAAGAGAAGAGATAGTTTAGAACTGTTAGGAAATAGGTTACCTCAATCTGAAGAGTCTAGATTGAAATTTCTAGATAAATGGTTGATTAAAATCCTGTAGGATTTATTTGAAGCTGAGAATATCTAAACTCAGTTGTATGAAGACTTATGGAACAGGCTCCCAGATTCTCCAAACCCAGAGTTCAAAAATCAGTTAAATGAATATACAAAGATGTGATAGGGATGTGAGTAAAGGAGTGCTGTGGGAGTCAATTGGATTATATTTTGTTGCTTGTTTCAAAACCTTTAAATTTATATCACATGTAAATAGTTTGGTTTGTTCTGATTTGTCATCATTTCTTTTGTATAATAAACTTTTGTTTCATTGTTAAACCCATATCCTCATCATTGAGTGCTTGTGTTTTGAGTAAAGATCATTCATTAAATCCAAAGAACAAAAAACAAAATATGATATATCAAGCCAGATTTCAGTCTGTAACCTGACTCATCCGATCTTAATTTCAACTGGGATCATAACACAGGGTCAATGCAGAGAGGTTGTTTCCTACGTAGGAGAGACTAGAACCGGAGGACATAATCTCAGGGTAAAGGGAAGGCCATTTAACACAGAGCTAAGGATGATGTTCTTCTCTCGGAAGCTCGTAAATCTGTGGAATTCTTTGCCACAAAAGGATGTAGAAGCTGGATCATGAAATGTATTCAATGCTGAGATAGACAGATTTCTAATCATTAAGAGAATCAAGGGGTATGGGGATTAGGCAAGGAAGTGGAATTAAAGGTTATCGTATCAGCCGTGATTTCACTGAATTGCAGAGCACACTTGGTCGACCAAATGATGAACTTTCTGCTCCTGTATCTTATGGTCTTTCAGAAAATGGGAGTTATTTTGGTAAATCTGGATAAAATTCTTGAGAGAATAGGTTTCAGTTTTCATTGATATTTATAATTGCTCAGCTTTATTAGCATTTGGACCTCAAATTTACTGTGCTCTTCTATCATTACTTTAGCCATGGCACTGGCCAGTTAAAATAAAAATCATTATTGCTAAGATGTAAAGTGAGAAATTTTCCGGTCAGCTATTCTGTAAATTTAAGGTTCCTGAAGTTGTAATTTAGACTCATAGTGCCATGCAGCATTGAAACAGGCCTTTCGGCCCACCATATCTATGCCAACCAACAAACCCCAGACTACACTTATCCCATTTACCTGAATAGTCTACTATGTCCAGGTATTTTAAGTGCTCGTTGATAAGCTTCTTAAATGTTGCAAGAGTATCTGCCTCCACCACTCTCTCAGGCAACAGGTTCCACACATTTACCACCCTCTGGGTGAAAAAATTCTTTTGCTTTTCTCCTGTAAGCCACTTGCTCCTCACCTAAACTTACGCCCTCTGGTCTTAGACACATCTGCCATGGGGAAGAGATTCTCACAATCCACTCTGTCTGTACCTCTCATAATTTTGTATGTCCCCATCAGATCATCCCCTCAGCTTCCTCTACTCCAAGAAAAACAAACACAGCTACTCCTCATAACTGAGGCTTTTCATCCCAGGCAACATCCTGATGAATCTCCTCTCCAGTGTGATTGTGTCATAAAATTTCATAGAATCCCTAAAGTATGGAAACAGGCCCTTCGGCCCAACAAGTCCACACCAACCCTCAAAGCATCCCACCCAGAACCATCCCCCTATAATACACCTAATCTACACATCCCTGTTAACTACGAACAATTTAGCATGGCCAATCCACCTAGCCTGCACATCTTTGGACTGTGGGAGGAAACTGGAGCACCCAGAGGAAACCCACACAGACACGGGGAGAACATGCAAACTCCACACAGACAGTCGCCCGAGGGTGGAATCAAACCCGGGCTCCTGGTACTGTGAGGCAGCAGTGCTAACCACTGAGCCACCATGCCGCCCACCGTGTTGACCAGAACTGCACACAGTATTCCATCTATAGCCTAACCAATGTTTTATTTTAAAAAATTATCAAAAATTTCCTATAGTGTAACACAATGCTCCCCAATTTCTTGTTTTCTCCATCTCCAGCCTCTTGTACATGTGCTTGCATATTAGAAACCATGCCTTCAGCCGTTCAGAATCCCATTCACTAGTATTTCCTCCCCTCAACCATTCCAATTCCTCCTCTACCCTTTCCTCCTTCAAGGCTCCCTGAAACTCAATAAGTTACTGATTGCCTCTCCTAATTGCCTCCATTTTCTAAGATTTTTGTAGATTGTCTTGATATCCTAAGATTTAAGCCACTTCATAGATTCAAATCATTGTGGCAAGCTAAAAAAGCCAGAGTTGAGGAGAATTGGTTTCAGATCGAGATTCACTAAAACATGGAATGCTTTACCATGGTTGTTTGACGTGGTTTGGCTCACCAATGTCTTGAAAGCAGGATTTTTATGTGTAAGGAAAGAGTTGAGATGTGAATTAGTGTTGAGTAGATAATGGTAAGATATATCAAAGGTACCCTGTCTAATGATATCTCTGAGGAAAGATTAACGTACTGGCAATCCTTTCTCCACTCTGTATAATTATGAAGCAATGTGTGAAGGTTCTCATACTGAACCATGTTTCCATTTGTGGAAGAATCCAAAACTATCAATACAGAAAATCTTCTGAAGAAGGGTCTAGGCCTGAAACGTCAGCCTTCCTGCTCTTCTGATGCTGCTTGGCCTGCTGTGTTCATCCAGCCCTGCACCTTGTTATCCCCCCTTTATTTCTTTTGTTACAGGTTTGCTGGAATCTTAATCATACGGAGTACGCTGACTTTCCTTTTCTTGTTTACGTCTTTAGGGTGAGAGTGTTTTGACTGTCATCAAGGCGAAGGCTCAGTGGCCTGCTTGGCAACCTCTGAACGTGTAAGTTACATTGCAGTGCTCTCTTATTTTCTAACTATATATTATCTGCAACATAATAGGAACTTCATCTTTGACGTGAGAGCTTTATGTTTGACAGATGTGTATTCTTGCAGATGTTTCAATTTGGAGGAAAGAAACGTTGGTTCCTTTTGTGTGAATAATGTACAGTTGGCTGGCTCACAATAAACATTCTGCTGAATCTTTAGAGGGCTATGTTGAATAGCCTAAAAGTCTACAAATTAGAGACAGACCTTTCAGGAGTGAAATTGAGCGCATTTTCTTTACACAAAAGAGTTGTTGGATAATGGGCAGAATAATAATATTCACCCTCCAGTAATAGGCTTGCACATAAGGGAAAGAGTCCCATAAAATGTTTCAGGTGGTCTTTCCTTCACTTTGCTGCTCCCCTTGATCTCTTTGTAACTTTACAGTGGTAAAGGCAAGATCTAACCCAGTCAACAGATGCTGTATCCAACTGAGGGCCTTAAGTATGGTAGAAGATTGGGACTCACTTTCACAAATGGCAATCGATCAATTACTTATTGTAAACCTGTGATTGATAGAAATCAAAAGAACTGCAGATGCTGGAAATCAGAAACAAAAACAGAAATTTGCTGGAAAAACTCAGCAAGTCTAGCAGTTTCTGTGGAAAGAAATCAGAATGAACATTTTGGGTCAGTGACCCTTCCTCAGAACTGAGTTTTTCTGATAGATTTAATAGATTTTTGTAATCCAAAGCTAAGAAGCAATATGAGGTGAAGCTGAGCATATGGACTAATGTCACAGATCAGCCATAATCTAGTCGAATGGCAGTACAGGCTGGAGGACGTAAATGTGTCCTTTCAGTCCTTTATGTCCCTTGAACATAATAGAGGAAAAGTAAGAATACGCAATACACAATATCTTCAGCCTGGAATACAACAAGGAAATATTGTGCATAAATGTGAGGGTGTCTTTTTTATTTCACTTAATAATAGTTATTGTAATGAACTTCATGGAAATTATCACAGCAATTCTTAACCCTGATGGTACTGGCAGGTTAGGGGACCAGAAGCGTTAGTTCTAAGGAAGGACCTCAAATGTTGTGACTGTTTCTGCTAGTGTAGGTAAGAGATTAAATAGTGTTTCTTTGTTAAAACACAGCCAATTGTAACAGAGTGAATAGGGGCAAGCTAAGGTCACTGGCTAATGTTGGGGAGTCCATGTCAAGAGCTTATTCATCCAAAATTCTCACGAAAAGCATGAGAAGAGTTATTGAGAAAACTCTCTTCAAACAAAGAGTTGTTAGATCATAGGCAGAATTACACCCACCTCCACAGGAAGGTTTGCAGGTGGCAAAGAGGCCCATAAAGATTTTCAGGCAGCCTTCCCATCACACTGCTGCCTACCTTGGTCTTGTTATAATTTATACTGGGATGGGAAAGACCTAGGCTAGCCAAAGGTGCTGTCTACAACTGAAGCCCTATGTAGATAAGTGATAACCAAACACCCACCCTGCTCAATCTTTAGGCAGATAGAAGGTTTTCAGCAGCAGGGAAGAAACCCAGAGAGTCACTTTGCTCAGGCCTTGAGTGGGATGGGAGTGCTGACTAATGAGAGCTGATGACCTCAAAGAGAAAATGGGTGTGAGGAAATTTGCCTAGCTCCAAAGCTTAACTAACAGGTCAGAGGCAAAAAATGAGACCAGGGAGGCTGTTTCTGGATCTTAGTGGGCCATTTCTGTTTCTCCTGGCTCTACAAACAATGAAGGTATGTATGTCGCTTCCTGAAGTCTCTTTAAATAATGGCTAGTGAGATATGTAGTCCAACTTACGACACATTTTGAACTGGATCCTGAAGAAAGTATTCAGATGCTGACATTCATGTTGAAAGAGCAAGATATTCATACCAGTTTGGTAGCAAGCAGACTTCCTGTGTAAGAAAAATTACAGCACAAAATTTGCCACTGTTTAGTTTGCTCAAAAACTGTTGAAAGGAGCTCCACTCACTCACAAATTATGTGCCTAAATTTGCACTTTGCTTATTCATTGATGGTCATGCTTAATTTTATATCGATTGGGAACATTGTGATGCTTGTAGATGCCATGAGACACATTGGGTAGAATCTTACAGGGGTCTGAGAAACTTGGACTGTTGTGAGATTTGTGGCAGAATCAAACAAGAAATCCAGCAAAGCGAATTTTGACATTGGGACCATTTTCCATCTTTTATGTTTTTCACAAGCAATGCTGAGGTTTTCTTGATCGGTAATGGCAAGTTGCTGATAAAGGGGAATTACTGCTTGTAATAGAATACAAATTAGTCATACACTTTGGTAATGGAACAAATTGCTTCATTAATAATCACTTTCCTATCTTATCAAATATTCCTAACAAGTTAGATAGAATGAAAACCCAACATGGAAATCAGAGCGTGTACCTGTTGACTTCAACTAGCCACATGCTCTGCATGACCTCTGTATTGTATTCGGCCACACAGCGTCTCAGGGCACAATCCACAGACCCCAGCCACAAGCTCCCCTCAACAATAGACATTGGCATCTGGCATTTTCCAACCTCTCACAAGCATCATGGCAACTCTCTGATACACTGGCAGGCCACTTGAGAAACACAGATTTTCATTGCAGGGCACACCAGCAATTATTGCTGCAATGCTGCTGCAAGAAAACTGCCCATGTTGACAGGCACCACGGTCACAGATTGGACTGGGCTGCATCTTAGGGCTGTTTGCTTGTTCTCTTAGGGATCACTGAGTTAACACCTACCTGCATGCTTGCAGAATCCATACCTTGCCATGCTTGTTAGAATATTGGCACTTCAGCCAGAACCAAAGGCTATCAGTACTGTTGTATTGACATGCTGTTTAGCAAAGACCTACAGAGAGACTACCTCTCATTCTTATCATTAGGGAACTTTCAGGTGGAAGCAGGTATCTTTACCAATGGTAGATGTCATCTAACATCAAAAGGACATTCTAGCTGCCCACAGGGTAGCACACTACACATGCATTCGACCAAATAAAATGTAAGAAACATGGAGTGCTGGTACTTCTTTCAGTCAAGGGGAGTCCACTGTCGGTCATGGGGCCTCAGAATGGTCAGTCACAGGCACAATCTGCACACAGTCCAGGATTGGGCCGTGGTCAGTCACCCGCTTGGAATGTTCATAGTCAGGAATCTGTCCAATTACAGTCCAGGGAGTTGGCAATGGTCAGTCCTGTAGGGTCAGCAGCAGTTGTCAGAGGAATCACGTAGTAAGGAAGCTGCAAACACAGTGGTCAGGGGTCTTGGCAGCCCCATCTAGGAACTACTCATTGAGGCCAGTGAGGGCCAGGGGGTGTGTCTGTTAATCATTGAGGAGGGTACATGGAGTGCCTGTAGTGGCAGCAGGAGATCATGGCCAAGAAAGGGTCTCCATAGCACAAGCTAGAGGAACAGGTTCGACATTATTAGCAAAGTCAGAACTTGCTGAAAATCTCAGCAGGTCTGGCAGCATTTTTTAAGAGAAAGCAGAGTTAACTTTTCGGGTCCAGTGACCCTTCTTCAGAACTGATTGTAGTTGGGAAAAGGTTGGACATGTGCAAGAGAAGGGATTGGGGTAGGAGGAAAGAGTAAATGATAGGTAGAGATGGATCCCAGATAGAGAGAAACACGGTTGGGCAGACAAAAGAAAGGATAAAGATCAGTCTGGGAGAATGATCAGCTGCTAATGGAGACCGTTAGTAGATGACAGTGAGTTGTGTGTGCTGTCCGCCCATGTGATGACAAGGCCTGGTGTGTGGGTTTGGGGTAAGGAGATGGGAGAAGGTGCTCAAACCCTAAAATTATTGAACTCAATATTGATTTCAGAAGGTTGCAGAGTTCCCAAGTGGAAAATGAAGTCCTGTTCTTGTAGCTTGTGCTGAGCTTCGCTCGAGTGCTGCAGCAATCCTGAGACAGATGTTGGCCAGGGAACAAGTTGGTGTGTTGAAGTGGCAGCAACTGGAAGCTGAGGGTCGTTTTTGCAGACAGATGTAGGTGTTTTGCAAAGTGGTTGCCCACTCTGTACTGTATTTCCGATTCTGGAGGAGACCCACATTGTGAGCAGGGAATGCAGTAGACTAGATTGAGTGAATTGCTGGTAAATCACTGCTTCACCTGGAAGGTGTGTCTGGATAGTGAGAATAATAACAAAGAGCAATACAGCACAGAAACAGGCCCTTCAGCCCTTCAAGCCTGCACCGACACATTTTACCTTTCCACCCTAAAACTGTCTTCACTTACAGGATTCATATTCCTCTATTCCATTCCTATTCATGTATTCATCCAGCTGCTTCTTGAATGCCGCTATTATGTCTGCTTCCACCACCTCCTCTGGCAACACGTTCCAGGCACTCACCACCCTTTGTGTGAAAAACTTGCCTTGCACATCTCTTTTAAACTCACCTCCAACCCCTTACCATGAACCTGTGTCCCCTGGTAATTGACCCCTCCATCCTTGGAAAAAAGCCTCAGACTTTCCACTCTATTCATGCCGTTCACAATCTTATAAGTTTCTATCAGGTCGCCCCTCAACCTCCTGTGTTCCAGTGGAAACAAACCTAGTCTACCAACTTTTCTTCATAGCTAAAATCCCCCATACCAGGCAACCTCCTGGTAAACCTTTTCTGAGCCCTCTCCAAAGCATCCATATTCTTCTAGTGGTGTGGTGACCAGAACTGCATGCAATATTCCAAGTGTGGCCTAAGTAAAGTTCTATAAAGCTGCAGCATAACTTGTCTATTTTTATACCCAATGCCCCTCTGATGAAGGCAAGCATGCCATAAGCCTTTTATACTACCTTATTTACCTGTGCTGCCACCTTCAATGGTCTGTGGACCTGAACACCCAGGTCCCTTTGCATATCAATACTTCTAAGGGTTCCGCCATTCACTGTACAATTTCCACCCATCCTTGACCTTCCAAAATACATCACCTCACATTTGTCTGGACTAAACTCCATCTGCCATTTTTCTGCCATGTC